CAAAAAAAAAAAAAAAAAAAAAGAAAAGAAAAGCACTTGATTAATCTGAAAGAAGGCAAAAAGAAAAAAGTAAAGTAACAAAGAATAGATGTGATAAATAGAAAAAAATTAATTGCATTAGTTTTTTTTTTTTGAGGTAGAGTGTCACTCTGTCACCCCAGTTGGAGTGCAGTGGCACACTCATGGGCCACCCCAGTGTCGACCTGCTGGATTCCAGTGACCCTTTTGCCTCAGCCTTCCAAGTAGCTGGAACTACAGGCTTGCCCTACCACACCCAGCTTATTTTTTTATTGTAGAGACGAAGTCTCACCAAGTTCCCCAGGCAGGTTTTGAACCCCTGAGCTCAGGCAACCCTCTTGCCTTGGCCTCCCAAAATGCTGGAATTACTGGCTTGAGCCACCATGCCCGGTCTACACCTCATTCTTTTATAGTGTTTCTGGCTAGTGTTTCAGCTATGTCTTCAGAAGGCCATTACTAGGATTAAATTAAATTAAATTATTTATTTATTTAGTAGGAGTCTCTTTGTCATCCAGAATGGAGTACAGTAGCACGTTCATGGCCACCGCAGCCTTGCCCTGCAGGTCTCAGGTGACCCTTTCACCTCAGCCTTCCCAGTAGCTGGAACCACAGGCATGTGCCACCATGCCCAGCTGATTTTTTGATTTACTGTAGAGACGAGGTCTCGCGGTGTTGCTCTGGCTGGTCTCAAACCCGAGCTGAGGTAATCCTCTCGCCTCCACCTCCCAAAATGCTGAGATTATAGGCGTGAGTCACTGCGCCTGGCTAGGATTTTATTTTATTTGCTAGGATTTTATTAATTGGCTGCTTCTGGACAGTGCAGTAGATGATATGACCAGCAATCCCATGGTCATGGATCTTTTCACTGTAGATGAGGTCTCCAGGATCAGATGCTATGCTGTGTGGCAGTCTATGTCTAATCAGACAGTCCGCTGGTTGAGGCTCTGAGAGCAAAAAAGGCAAACCCAGGCCCACAACAGGGAGGTTATTCCTCTGAGGATGAACTGCTGGCCTTCACAGATGTAAGGGCCCCAATGTATCTGACCTGCATCAAGTGGCTGCTTGGTTCTCTCTAAAAATAGTGCGTATCAGGGACTCAGTGGTGGACTCTGTTGCTGACAAGTTGGGCATTCAGAGGCAGCAGTAGCTCGATCTGCCTTGGTAAGTAGGAGTCCATGCTATGAACTCACATTTAGCCTCAATGTCTGCCACTGTGGCTGCTCTGTTCGTGTGCTCAGCATGTCAGGGCTGGAATGACTAAACACAGGCTAATGTCAATTAGCCGAGTCATTTTGCCTACTTGACTGCTCAGTGCTTCTTCCATGGTGGGCATTATTAAGCTGGGCACGGTAGTCCACACCTGTAATCCCAGCACTTTGAGAGGCGGAGGCAAGAGGATTGCTTGAGCCCATGGGTTCGAGGCAGCCTGGGTAACATGGTGAGACCTTGTCTCTATAATAAACATTAAAAAAAAAATTAGCTGTGTGTGGTGGCACGTGCCTGTAGTTTCAGCTGCTTGGAAGGTTGAGGTGGAAGGAACATCTGAGCCCAGCAGGTTGAGGCTGCAGTGGCCATGAGCATGCCACTGCACTCCAGCCTGGGCGACAGAGTGAGATTCCTACTCAAAAAAAAAAAAAGGCCAGTTGCAGTGGCTCACACCTGTAATACCAGAACTTCGGGAGGCCGAGGAGAGAGGATTGCCTGAGACCAGCGTTTGAGACCAGCTTGGACAACTTGTTGAGACCTTGTCTCTACAATAAATAAAAAAATTGGCTAGGTGTGGTGGTGCACGCCTATAGTTCTAGCTACTTGGAAGGCTGAGTTGGAAGAATCGCCTGAGCCCAGCAGGTCAAGGCTGCAGTGTCTGCTAGTGTTCCACTGCACTCCATCCTGGGCGACAAAGTGAGACTCAACTCAAAAAAAAAAAAAAAAAAGAGAGAGAGAGAGAGAGAGATACAAAGTGGTGGCTTATACCTGTACTTTGGGAGGCCGAAGTGGAATGATTTCTTCAGCTCAGGAGTTTGAGACAAGCCTAGGGAACATAGTGAGACCTCATCTCTACAAAAAAAAAAAAAAAATCAAAAAAATTATCCAGGCATGGTGGTGCATGCCTGTAGTCTCAGTTACTCAGGAGGTGAGGCTAGAGAATCACCTGAGCCCAGGAAGTCAAGGCCACAGTCACGATCATGTAATTGCACTCCAGTCTGGGCGACAGAGTGAGATCTCGACTCCAGAAAAAAAAAAAAGAGAGATACAAGGCCAGACATGGTGATTCATGCCTGCAATTCCAGCACTTTGGGAGGCTAAGGCAGGAGGATCACTTGAGGCCAGGAGTGAGAGAGAGAGCAAGAGAGGAGAGAGGAAAGGGAGAGAGAGAGAGGAGAGTGAAAGAGCAAGAGAAAGAGGAGAGAGCGTGCAAGAGAGAGCACGCGTGAGAGAGATACAAAATTTTTTTTTTTTTTTGAGTTGGAGTCTCACTCTGTCGCCCAGACTGGA